GTTTTAAGTAGAAACAATATAAAAGAATACTAACAATTTTAAAGCAGAATATTAAATTATTTTTAAAAACTTTTTACGCAAAACACCTTACACAAAAAACATTTTATGAAAGTTTGCCTAAAGAAATTTATTAAATATTGTATGTATTTTAAGCAGTTTTATTTTTTCAAAATAATTATTAGTGTATTAAATTATTTTCTTTTAATGCTAAATGATATCGATGTTGTGTTGATATGGTTATTTTACCAAAATATTTTGGGTAATCACGTCTCATAATTCTCTCGTTATATTTAGTTTTATATTCAATTTCAATAAATGGATATTTAAATTAAAACATATTAAATTGAAGTACAAAATTTTTGACTAATGATGAAGTACGTTTACTGATGGACTTTTTAGTATGGAAATAATATGTTTAAAACAGAATTTTTTATCCTTCCATTTGCACACACTATAAAACTATTTCAAGTTATGTAATTTATTATGTATTATAATGATAATTTATTGTCTTTTTGCATGATACATGTCGTGCCCTAATGTACCTAATTGCATGTTTATTGCATGATATATGTTCCATTTTGTATTGCTTGCATAATTTATTGTTTGCACATTTAGAATAGTTATGTATTTCACTTTGTTAAATTTTGTTCTTTTCACAGATATCACTGCAATTTGTATTTTATCTACATTTATCGATATTATTTATTTAAGCAACTCACTTTTATTTTTTTCATGAAAAATTTAAATCTAGGTACTATGTATGAATCAAGAAAATTATAAATTAGAATAGTGTAAGACCATATTTTATTTAACCATAAGCTTTTATGATTTTCAACCGTTGTTCGTATATCCTGAACAATCAAAATTCTAACGCATAACATAACTATTACATAACGTATAGTATAGCATAACTGTTTTTTATAAAAGAGTTAAAAAAATTATTTGAATATTATGTATTAAGGGTTTTGGCCAGTAAAGCGATTTTCCCCACTATTTACAAAGATGTCGTTTTTTCATCAAACTATTTCTTAATATTGTTTCCAGTTTGATGCTTTGCCAGTTTCTGAATTTTCCACTTGGTTGGTACAGGTATAATTTATTGCCTACATGGAAATTACGGTTTTTATTCAGAAATTTATACTTAGAGAAATTTTTAAGTTTGGCTTATCATTATATTGCTACAAACCCTTGTTTAAATACACTCTTTGAAAAAGCTTTATACCATCTTTGTTGTTCATTCAATAGAAAAAGAGTATCTGATCACTTCAATTGCTCTGTTACTTTTTTCTCGTTAAAACGGATAATTTTTATTCCATCCAATATTTCTGACAATACTCTTTAATTTAACCTAGTTTCGTGACATTAGGAATTTTTCAAATGTGTACTACCTTTAAAATAATTTTTTTTTTTATTTCAAATTACTATTATAACCCTTTTAAATTTTATGTAGCAAAACTAATGCACATTTTGAAAGATCATAGTTACAACTTTTAGAAGTCTTACTTTATACTCATATAAATTTTGGACAAATTGCAAAAACTGGGAGAAATTAATGCTTGTTAAAATTTGGTTCTTCTTTTAATGTACACAGTTATTTTGGTAAACTTGACATGACAAAACATTTTAAAAGATCATAATTGAAGGTAGGATAAGCTTGTTTACTTATCGAACTCCGGCAGTTTTTTAAAAAAAATTTTTACTCGGAAATAATTAATTAATTCACTTTTGAAATACAGATTTTAAAAAAGTAAGCCAAGTGAATACAGTATTCAAAATTTGTATATTGACCGTCAAATATGATTATTAACATCCCAAACAAAAACAAAATCACCGTTATTCAACAAAGAGGAAAATAGATTGCTATAGAACGAGAAATTCGGAAAAGAAAGTAACAATGGATTGGATATCTGTTGAGAAAAACGTAAAAATAAAACAGGTGTTTGATTGAAATCCCCAAGGAAAGGGAAAAAAAGAAAAAAAAAGAAAAACAATTTGACGCAAGACAATCAATAATGAATTGAAAAATGTCAGCAAATGAGCTGAGTTTAAACTGTTGACCTCTATTGGAGTGAAGTGGAAAACCAAGACGGAGGCCTTATACACTGTTAGAAATTTCTCGGAAAAAATGGTTAGATAACAATTTATTGAATGGTTATTTTACCATATTTAATCAAAACAGTCAAATACCCATAAATAAAATGGTAATCAAACCGTTAAGTTTGAGAAAAACTGTTTATTAACTGCTTTCAGCTAATACGGTTAAACAACCAGAATTTTATCTCAACCAACTAGAACCACCTAATGAAGCTACTTCGTTCTTTGCAACTGCGTACATAGCATAGCCGAGCGGGCTTATCAGTCAATGACCGGCAGAACAGGAGTTCGTGTCCTAGTATTGACACCACAATATTTCCTCCATTCCCTTCAACACATGAAGAATTTCTAGTGTCCGGCAATATCCAATGCCCATTAGCTTACGAAAAACTGAGCTCCTATGTCTAGTTAAATAAAAAATTTTAAAGTTTCTGAAAAATGCTAGTTGTAATTGGTTAAAAACCGTATAGTTTTGTATTCATAGTTTTATAACTATATTTTCTGTAAATGGTTTCAAAACCATAAAGAAAAAAAATGTTCTTTACCGTAAACTTTACGCTTAATCGGATGGACAGACAGCTGCCAGTTATTTTACCATAATTTTGGAATGAAAATTTTAACAGTGTATTCTAGGCTGCCGTGAGGAGATATGAGTACGACTGTTATTTTGAAAAAAATTATATTTTTCTTGCTTCACATGATTCATAAAAATTTCATATTACAACGATTAGAAATATTTCTAAAAGTTATAATTGTAGTCATTGAACTTTTTATTCGGGGCAGAGCTGAAATGTGTATTTAAAAAATTCAAAATTACGAGGCTACGGAGATGAACATAAGTAGTCGTAACCCCAAAAAATTGGGTCAGCTGTTCAACGACGATTATAAAATAAAATATGACATTTTCTTCAATAAAAAAAACCTGATTCTTGACTTTTTTTCAGTTCTGATTACAAATTTTGAAAGAAATAAAGGTTTACATTATAATTGCGACCAACTACAACTAAATGAAAAATCTCTGTAAAAGAGAACGAGTCGTTAAAGATCGCTGAATTGTAAATTAGCTGCCCGGGCTTCTTAGTCGGGTATATTACAGATGTAAATTCTCAGGCATTTCTTCGTATTCAGTACAATAAACGTTAAAGTGGTTTTAAGAAACCTAAATTCGTACCACGTCAATTTATTATCACTATTACATATCTATAAGACCCGTAACAACCTTGTAAAAGGAATTGTTAAATTTTATAATCTTTTTTTTAAGTTTATTTTAAAAAATTGTACTGTGTACACAAATGTACGCCAAAACATTTCATATTTATTTAGATCCATTAGTTTATTCTTTAAAAAAAATACTATTTTCATAAGAGCAATTTTAAAAAAAAGAATCAAATGATTTCATTTTCTTAATCACGAATTTCCAGTTGTGTACATTTTCTTAAGGGCGTAACTCGAATTGTGTCCATTTTCTTAAACGCACATTTTTAATTGCGTCCATTTTCTTAAACGCACATTTAGAATTGCGTCCATTTTCTTAAACGGGCATTTAGAATTGAGTCCATTTTCTTAAACGCGCATTTCACAAGATACGTCCGTTTACTTAATCACGCATTTCCTGTTGTGTCCATTTTCTTAAACACGCATTTCTTGCTATGTCCACGATAAAAAGCTCACTGACGTTATGATCTTTTAAAGTTTGCTAGTAATATTGTCAGAAAAATTTTTCGAATGCATTTACTGTGTGCCAAAATTTCGTTTCCATTGCACTTTATCCTTAGATATCTATTAAGTAGTGTATTCGTTAAATAGTATTCAAAATTAAAGCTAATTGGAGATTAATTATGTATTTATCTGAAATTTAATTTAAAATAGCTGAGAGCAAAATATGAGAATCGTTATTTTATTGTATATTTATAAAAGACGCAGTGACAAAATTTAAACGTGAAAATGAATTATTTTTAATTAAAAAACATTTTTTTCAATTCCCCCTATCATTTAAATTCCTTATGTTTTATTCATGTTATATCATCTACATATATTTTCAAAATTAAAATATTAATGGCATCTCATAATATTCTAATTTTCACACTTTTTAAATTAATCACTTTCATTATTTTTATTTAGATGGTTTACGTTTTATTCCCATTAAGTTTTATAAACATTTCCATTTTTATAATTAGGTTTTATAATGTTAAAAAAAAACTTAGATTATGGAAAAATTTGTTGGTTGTAAAAGTCATGACGCCATTTTTTCCCCTGTTTCATAAAGTGTATATACGGAAACAAAACACAGCCGATGATGCAGTACTCATTTTGTCCCATATTCTTTGAGCATAGAAGTGCAAAACTCCGCTTTTATAGATGAACCTGTACTTATCAGTGATTTGCAGCTTCGTCTAAACTGAAGGTTTTATCTAACAACAACAAAAAATTGGGAAAGAAATAAAAAGTAAGGCAAGACTTCCAAATTCAGATATTTTTTCCAAGTAATAAAACTGGTGCGCAATCTAGCGTTGTGCCACTAGCACATAATTCCTACATTAACGATGTAGGAATTCTGATTGCACGATTTCTGATTGCAACTATCAGATTGATTCGTATTCCAATATTGACTGTTTAAGAAAAAATGCATCATGACTTTTCTGACCATCCAAAAATAAATATGCAATTTCAAAATTACTTTAACTATCCACTCACTAAAAATTGTTGCATATTATGACTGATATATATGTTTTCTACTAATAATTGTTGCATATTATGACTGATATAAAAAAAGATAGTTATATTAGTAGAAAACATATAGTTATATATGTTTTCTACTAATAATTGTTGCATATTATGACTGATATACATGTTTTCTGCTATTAATTGTTGCATATTATGACTGATATATATGTTTTGTACAACAGTGATATGCGCGCAAGGTCTGATAGCCAAAGACAAAAGCGGGACCAGTGATCCATACGTGACGGTGCAAGTGGGCAAGACGAAGAAACGCACACGCACAATGCCCCAGGACCTCAATCCCGTATGGAATGAAAAATTCTATTTGTAAGTTCTTATTATCATCTTACAATTCATTAGCTTTGTGTTTCAGAAACAATTTTATCTTTGTTTATTAGTAACGAAAGTTATTTTGATGCTTTTATAAGCGTTCTTAAGCGATACAATGATTAAACGACAATGTTTAGTTTTTTTCTATAGTTTTTTCGGTTGGCCATATTTTAAATGAGGAAAAAAAATAAAAATATCGCGATATAAGTACATTGAGATCACCAAAACTCAACTGAATCAATCAACTTAATCTCAAAGAAATAACTTTTTTTTAAAAGGGTATTTAAAGTTTTTAAATAATAGAACACTAATCTCAGGGTATAAGTAGTTGCGTTAAAATAATGCATTTAAAAGCTCTGAACAGAGAACAGCATTAGAGTTCCTTGAAACTTAACTAAATTTAAACATATTTTGTGAGTTTATAAGCAATGCGAAAAAATAAATCATATTTTCAATGAGATCGTTCTTTTGATCAAAAATATGTTTACAATCAAACAGTTTTTTTTAAAAAATTCGAAACCCCAACTTTTTTAAATTTTTACCTTTACTTAACTAGCATTTGACATTGATAATTGTTTTGTTTCATAAATAAAATGAGATAGTTCTTTTGATCAAAAATAAGTTTGCAGTCAAATAGTTTTTAAGAAATTTAAAACCCAATTTTTTCAGTTTCAACCTTCAATTTTGGATAGATAATTGTCTTTTTTCGTAAATTAAAATAAGACAGTTCTTTAGATCAAAAATATGTTTGCTGTCAAACGATTTTTAAAAATATTCAGCAATTATAAACACCAATTAACTTTTCTTTATTTATATTATAGTTATTGCATTCATAAAATCTAGGATTAGGTCAATATCTATAAATTTTTCATTCGGAGAAAATTTATAAGCATTAGGTTTGAATCACAATAGTCAATTAAGTGTTTTATTTGGATTTTAAATATGTATATATATTTTTTACCGTGAAAGATAGTTAAAATATAATTTCATATAAATACTTTTTTTTCAAAAAAAAATTAATTCGTTAACTTTTCTCAGATAATAAAGCTGTTTTATTGGTATTGTAATCTTAAAAGATAGTTATATTGCTTTTAAGATTAAAATACCCTATAAAATAAAAAATTTCGCAAGATTTAAGTAGCTTATTATATTTTTATGTGTATAACAAAACGGTTTCAATAAAATATGATTTAAAATAAAACATATGAAATTTTTAAACTCTTGGTTTGAAAAAAAAACTTTTATTGCCCATTAACATTTTGCATGATCACTTAAAATATTTTAACGCATATTTATAAAAGATGTAATACATTTATGGAATGAATTAGTAGTAAAAAATTATAGCCTTCATGCAACATAGAGAATTAATATCTTCTTCTATATATCTAGACAATATACATATTTTATGTCTTCCCTCTGAAAATATTTCATAGAATAAGATAATGAACCTTATCTCTTCATCCCTATAGCCTTGTTAAAACAATTGGCTCATTGCCAAAAAACAAGATCTTTCACTTAGTACAATATATGAAACCATTTAGAAGAATTCTTTGTATATGAATGCAAAAATAAATTATTTCTCTTTTTATGTTTGTCTTCCGTGCTTTATAAGATCCTTTTAAATTTCACAATGTGTATAATTTTTGCTGTTTTTACGACTCGGAATCATAAATTTTTTAAATAATTAATTTAGTCAGAACCTTTCTCTTTATATAAAAGTATGTATACACAAACTTAGAATTCTTTTTTAGAATTTTGCGAATTAGGCTTTAAAATTTTATAAATTATTGCAGCAAAATTATTTATTCCTCATAAAGTTCTATATTTTATATGTTATCATGGAACAAAAGATTAGAACGAAGAATTGTTCCTGACGATATGTTGTTGTATTTGAGGGATTTTTGTTTTAATTCAACGAATTGTTCCTAATGTTGAATTTTTAAAATCTCGTGCTTGAAAAATTTATCGTTTTCACATTTTCAATGAAAGACTCCACGAAAGGCGAGATATTATTTATTAAAAAGATGCAAGACAGAAACAGTAGAAAAACACATAAAGCGCCATCTAGAGTTATTAAAAAGAAAAACTTTTGCAGCACCAAATAATACTATGCCAAGTATAAAGATAAATAAAATATAGCGACTACAGAGAATGACTTACTCAACGTGACCTTAGTCTACATAACCTTAAACTAAAATTGACACATGAGGACATATGGCATGAAATATTCATCGGTGGTATAAAAAGAAACAATTTTTTTAAGGAATGGAATGAAATAGAAAAGTTCAATTTCTTGCATTCTGCTTAAGAAATAAAAGAATTTCTTCTACGTTTTAAATTAGTTCCACAGTTCATATAATGAAGGTGCGGCTGTCTGAAGAATTTATAAATTAATATTCTCCGCTGATTGTCAGACCATTCCAACTGAAATATTTGAATGTCGGTCAGTTAATTTTTTCCTCAGACTGCTCCATGTAGTAAATGCAAATGGTGGTCATTTTCAAAATCTTTCGAATTTTTTTTAATTAGCTGCGCCACCTGGTGATGAGTTTTATAAATAATATTTAAAATTTTTGCGGAAAATCCCAGGTTTCTTAAGATAAACGCAGATAACCATCATGTTTCCTTCTATTTTTTATAAAACTTTCGAGCGTTTTTTTTTAACTCGGGGTAATTAAGTTATGTAAAAATATCATAATAGAAAAACTCTTTTTTAAAAAAGAAAGATTTTGTTTGGAATTTAAATTAAAATCAAACGATAATGTTGTCTTTTTAAAATATGTTCAAAAAATATTACATAAATTAAAAAAAAATTAAAAATGAATATAAACAATTTTACAATTATTAAATCCCCAAAATTCTTTCAATTTTCAGGAAATTTCAATTTGTTTTGTTATTATAATACTTCAGACTTTTAAAAAAAAATTCTTTCTTTGAAATTCAAACTTATTTTCATTTTTTGTTTTTAGCGAGTGCCACAACTCTTCCGATCGCATCAAAGTACGAGTGTGGTAAGTAATATTAATCATTCTTTATTATCATAAGACAATTATCTTTATTATAAGACAATTATCTTTGTTATCATTAATCATCAGACTAAAACTTCTAGGATTTGGTTTTGGTAAAAATAAATAAATTTAGAAGTCAAAATTTTAAAATATTTAGATAGAATTATTATTTCTCATTATTTCTTTTTTAGGTGGGCTAACTATAGAATTAAATAATATTTAATACTTATTATTGAAAATAAAATAGTCATAATCTCTCAACATCATAATAAATATTAATTCATTTTATCAAAATCCATTACTATGTTCAAACATGCTAAACTATTCTTCGAGTATAATTCATTGTTTAGTTAGTTATTGACTGTAGTTGAATATGCTTACTCATTAATCATTATTATCTATGCAGATAGAGTTTTCCCAAATGATATGCGGGGATTGATGCAAAGATTAGTTAGTAAATGTTATTCCAATTCATCTGTAAATATAAATAGGATTTATTTCAATGGAAAGCTTATTCATAAAAACTATAATGTCAATTCAATGCATGAAAAACTTTTAACACTTTAATTAGAAAAAACTATTTTAAAATACTATTTTTTTTCAATCGATAAACGGTAAAATTTGTTACTCAAAATTTAACCAATGAATAATAACTTCATTGAATCGCAATTAAGTAAAATCTATCCTATTTTTTTTTTCTTTTCCTTCGGGATCACATATGAAGATGCATGCAGATTTGTTTAATTAATTAAAACGCTGTATGTATTGGGAAAATATTTTGTTTTATGAATAAATAATTTTTACATTAGCAAAAAATAATTGTTTTTTTTTTCAATTTTTACATAAAAAAATTCAAAATAATTCATCAGAAAATTAAACTTTCTGTCATATATTTATCCTATAAACAAACATTACTTCAAACACATCAAACAAATGTATTTAAAAATTTGAATAAACGAAACTTTTTTCAATTATACAGTTGTTATTTATTAATTTATTTCAGAGTGTTTTCATTAAATCTTAGGAGGTTACACCAAAGCATTTTCAAGTTTTAAATTCTAAGATAATAAATTATTTATTAAAGCTTGTGATAAATTATTTCTTTGCATCAATAAACTTTTAGAAAGAAATATAGAATAATATTGCCTAAGGGAATAAATGCTGGGATTCATACATTGAATTAAAAATTTCGTACGATTAATGGAGAATTTAAAACACAAAACAACAAAAGAGAGAAGTAACAATGTTTTTTACAGAAAAAAATTTTTATTGATAGAAAAGTAAATATATTTTCCTAAAAACAGTTTGGATTTATTTTTTTGGTTCTATTTATTTTCTAATTTTTCAAGAATTTCTGCATTAGGGATTTCGGTTTTGAATGTTTCGTTATAAATGAAAAACTAATTAATTAGTTATCGATTAAATTTTTCAAAAAAAATAATTTCAAAGTTATCCAGGACAATATAAGCATAAAACTATGACATTTATTTAAGTTTCAATTAGTAAAGCAATAATGTATGTTTAATATGTTTAATGTGTAATGTAATATTTATTAAAAGAAAAGTAAATACATTTTTCTAAAAACACTTTGGATTTATTTATTTATTTTTTGGATCATTTGATTTTTTAACTTATTAAAAATTACTGCGCTACGGGTTTCAATTTTGAGAGTTTCTTTATAAATGAAAAACTAATTAATTAGTTGCTAATCTTTCAAAAAAGAAATATTTCAAATTTGCAGTACAATGTTAGCATAAAACTATCATTTACTTAAGTTTTAATGTGTAATGTAAGTAATGCATTTCGAAGCGCTTTTATTAACTATGTTTGCTCATTTTTGTCAGATCTAAAAACGAAAGACTTGGGTAAAAGTTTCGGTGGTGATTAAAGGTAATAACGAAAGTGATACGCCATACCGTTTTCATTTTGCATCCGACAAAGATTAAATTATTCTTTTCCCTTTTTATTCTTCCTGAAAAATATATTTCTTGACATTTTTATTTTATTTTTTATTATATTATTTTCTTCTTTAATTTTTTGCCTGTTAGTTAATTTATAGATAGTGCTAGAAATTTTGATTGGTGGTAAAGTTTGCTTGTATCATTCAGAAAACGATTTTAACTTGTATAATCATCAGACACAAACCTTTAACTGAAATTTAAGCACTCTAACTAGTCGGAATTTTGATAAACGATTAGCTACTTCAGACAATAGAATAACGATAAATTCTGTTTATTATAGCAGTTAGGGAACAATTGAAACTTCCATCGTCATCACGCCCAGATAACGTTTGAGCACTCTAGTTAGTAGGAGAGTTCTCGAAGTTTTGGTTCAAGATATATTCTATTAGGCAGGGCTGGATTACCCATTAGGCCATGGCCTGGGGCCCCCAATGATTAGGGGCCCCCTTGAAATTTTATTTTTGAAAATAAATTTTAAAAAATTAAAAAAAAACAAAATCAATTCAAAAACAATCAATAACAAAATCAAAAAAAATCAATTTCAAATATATATTAATAAAATACGATAATTTTTTTAGTTTTAATTTAACAAAATAAAGCAAAAATGAATTTTTTATTATTTATTTTTATTTTAAATATGCTTTCTTAAATGAAAAGATATATAAATACTTTTATATTTGAATAAATAAAAAATATACGAGAAAAAATTTTTTTATCTAAGGGTCCCAAAAATTTAAATGGCCTAGGGCTCCGCATACGCTTAATCCGGCCCTGCTATTAGGAAACATAAAATAGCTATAAATTCTGCTTGTAGTTGTCAAAAAATAGTTGTTACTTTTGTTATTAGGCATGAATTCTCTGAAATTGGTCGAAATTTCGATTACAAAACCCTCACATACATGACAGCGAGTTAATAAAAAAACGTACAGTCTTAAATTTGAGTGGAAACCCTGATTTTAGGTTAACATCAGCTGTCATTGAAAACATATGCCGCTAGTTGAGACACGCGATTTGATTTCTGACAGTTATGCCTTTTGAATGCATATGTTTCACAATTACAATGTGTCATACTCATCTCTCCTTGTAAGAGCGTCATTGACAGAGAATGGAAGCAGCTGTAATCACACCGACGTTTTAGGGTTCTGTTTGTATAGATATGACTGATTTATATGGCTTCTATCCATGACTGCAATATGGTTACTGTCTAGCAAGTGATTTTTGTTAAAGTTATGTCTTGTAATTGTCGAAAGCGTATCAATTATTGAAGGGAAATCAATTTCAAATGAATTGAATGGGTTAAGGAATGATAATAATTGATTTAAAAGTAATTTTAATACAAATTCTTTATAATTTACCTATGCCACAAAATGTATAAATTCGAAGGGTGAAGGCATAGGGGTGATACTGTGTGCGGGTGGTGGTGCATTATATTGATTATTCGCAATGTACAAAATTGTTTCAAACTTTGAGAGTACACAAATTTATTCTTTATTTTAAAGGAAAAATAAAAAATGAAGGACATTTAAAATTAAATTTATATTCGAAGTGCTTAGTGGAAAAAAATACATTTTAGTGAATTTCGGTACATCAACTTAAATTTAGCAATAACAAGAAGTTGCTTATGAAAACTATCTTTTACTGCCGTATTCTTTAATGACCTGAAAAAAAGAAATCAAATTCTGCACATTTATATAGCTATCCATAATTTTTTTTTTCAAATTCGAATTCACTTTTCCAGAATGTCACTTAATGTAAAAATGTTCTTAGTAACAGATTAATGGAAGAAGGTTCTAAGTAAAATTTGTGTGACTTTAGGAACATTAGTTTTAGAGAACTTTACAACAGCAGAAAGCTACTTCCGAAACACATTTTCTAATTCCCAACCCTCTTCATTAATGACTTGGACGAAAAGAAATAAAGTTCTGTGTATATATATATAGCTGACCATACATTTTTTTCAAACTCTAATTCGTTCGTGGTAAGAGCTTAGTGGAAGAAGGTTCTAAGGGACATTTTAGTAACTTCAAGAGCATCAGTTTTAGAAAATTTAACAAAAGCAGGAAGCCGCTTACAAAACTCAGCCTTATTTAATGACCTGTAAGCAAAGAAATTGAGTTCTGTATATATAGCCGACCATTAATTTTTTCATGCTCAAATTCGCACAGACAGTATCTAGTGACAAATTCACATTTGTCTCTTGGTACCCTTTCACTAAACTTTTCACTTATCACATCTCATATGATACAAATGAAGCAAAATCTTCGATATAACAACTCATTCTAAAATAATCGTCTTAATGATGATAGGGATGAAGACAATGACTTGAAGTCGAAGTTGCGGCAGAAGCTGACCAGGGAGTCAGATGACTTCTTAGGACAAACCATCATCGAAGTACGCACACTCAGTGGAGAGATGGATGTATGGTATAATCTAGGTATGTCCATTCAGTATACATCCTTTATGTGTTTAAGTATATCTAATATTTATCATCATATCATTATCAGTAATATTATGTTCGTCTAATTTTTTAATGTTTACAGTATATATCTTGAAAATTAGTAAATTTTTAATGATTTACTATAATCTAATACGTTCACCTTGTTTTTGTTTAAAGTAAATTTTTACTTTTAAATCCTTCTAAAGATATCTGTTTTCAATTTTTAGGTTCACTTATACTATTTTACATCGTAATTTAAAAATTAAAAAAACTCGGTGTATGATGTGTAAAGCGCTCACACATGGTCCACATTCTCGAGTTAAACAACTCATGAATGATGAAAATAAGAAAAGGCATCTGTGAGACTAACTGTAGAATAAGACAGGATCATTTTTATCCAGTTCGGCTTTCATTATTCGTGAGTTAGTGTTAAGAATAAGCGCCATGCTTGCGCGTTCGAAGCATGTCGAATCTTTATAAAATTCTTATAAAAGTATATCTTTCCTCTACCTCTATTTGGAACTCATTTCACATAAATTAGATATATCTCGCTATTTGGAATTGATCTTTTACCAGCACTAGGTATATCAACTCTAAGTATAAGGTCTCTTTACTTAATCGCATACATTGACTTAAATCAACATTCCATAAATATCAGTAGATACTTATATCTTTCATAATTCAGTACTTAATCTTGTTTTTCAACATTGTTTTTACAGAGAAGCGTACAGATAAATCTGCTGTATCTGGAGCAATCCGCCTGCATATCAGTGTTGAAATTAAGGGTGAAGAAAAAGTAGCGCCTTATCATGTTCAGTACACTTGCTTGCATGAGGTAACTCATAATTTTCCCCTTTTATTTTTTAGCTATTATATATTTAGAGGGTATAAAATCTAAAATCACTTCGGGTAGTATGACAACGTCACAAAGAGCATTTATGCGGAAATAATTCGGATATGGAATTCGTATGATTTAAAATTTGAATTTACATCCAATAACCTGTATAAACTAAATGAAGGAAATATTGCCGTCTATATTACGGCAAAGTTTGTAATTTTTTTCTCATTTTATTTAGTTTATACAGATTATTGGATGTAAATTTAAATTTAAAATCGTACGAATTCTACATCCGAATTAATTTCGCATACGAATAAGAAAAAACTAATAGCATCATTTATATCTTTTACAAAATTTAATTCTTGAAAAAACGAAGTAGATATGCTAAAATTTGTACAAAATGCAAAAATGCAGCACGTTTGAAATAAAAGAAAACATTATTGATTGAGTTAAGCTTTTGTAATTTTCCATGGTGTTTTCCAAAAAAAAGGTATTGTTTGTGATTTTCAGAGCATTTAAATACTAATTCAATTTTTAATCGCTTTTGTTCACATAAAATTGTTTTCATTTTTTTAACATATTTTATTTTATCAATATTTACAATCAATGGATTAATCATTCATCAATGATTTATTTTCTTACACTGGAAGAAATTTCCGAAACATTCAAAGAATTGGTCAATTCATACAACCAGCACTTTTTTAGAAAGAAGCCCAGTGCTCGTAGTTCTAAGAAATTTCGAAAAAAATAGTAGAATTACACGGTTATTGCATAAAACATTCTAAGTCAATTGAGTTTACACTCTTTTCCATAGTAGTTACATCCTCAATCTCCGAGAGCAAAAGTTTCCAGGTTCGAACCCAGTCATTACCAAATAATATATCTTTCAATCTACGTAATTCTATCTACATAAATGAACTCAAACAGATGGCAGCACAACACTATTTTATTTCGCGTCATGGTTTGGGTTCCTTTGATTCGATTTACACATCGCCTGGGCATCAAACAACGAGCTGATCTGAAGACAGCGTTTACGAGCAATAATTTAATTTAAGGTCAGTGGCCTTATATTTTTTTTTTTAAATCCTAGCAGACTAGTATTTTTAAGGTTATAATAGCTCTTTACAGGTATTAATTTATTTTTACGATCAGTGACTGGAACACACTGACCCTAATCTGGCGGTAAAAAATTTTTAGAGTGTAGATACTTTTGATAATTATCATAGTTACATTCTCAATGCAAAGCCCTGAAAAAAAAAGAAATGGAATTAAAAGGATAAGTTTTGATATGTTACATGTTTTGTGAATACTATAAATATTTCTGAACCGTTAATTAGTTCTTCTGCATTAAATGATAATTAAAAAATGATATGTAATTTTATGAAACTATGAACTTGTTTTTATGCACTTACATAAATTAATATTGTGTATTAATATTTCTATTCGATATTTGCAGAACCTTTTCCATTACTTGTGCGAACAAAATGAAAACGGGGATGTCAAGCTTCCCGAAGCTAAAGGAGTAAGTTAATTATTTGTTTTACTTTATACAAAACCTTAGCTAAGTAAATCAAGCGAATGTGTAAAGATCGTATGACCAGTCTTTCCGCGAACTTTGCCTATACTTTCAGGAGATACTTTTAAACAAATATATACATTTTAGAAAGACTAGTTTACATTATGGATGGCCAACCACGGAGACATGTGCCACAGTTTGACTTTGTGGTGGAGTTCGCAAAGACTTATTGAAAAATTAAAAAAAATAAAAATTTCGCTTTTAGGGAACTTTGTCAAAGTTCGTGAAATCTTACTATTATAATGAGTTTTGTTAGTTTATAGCAGCAAGTGAATTTCAAATTTTACACGATTTGATTGTTGTTGGCATAATCAGCATATGTTTGTGAGCAAATTTTTTCTGTTATTAAAATCAAAATATAGTTTCAGATGAACTATTACCTTCTTCGGGTGAACTATGAATTTTTTCAGGTGAACTATAAACTTCTTTCAGGGGAACTATTGCTATCACCATAAAATCAAAATATAGTTTCAGATGAACTATTATTATCACTATAAAATCTAAATATAGTTTCAGATAAACTATTATCTTCAGGTGAACTATAAACTTTTTTCAGATGAACTGTAAACTTCTTTCAGGTGAACTATTACTATCATCATAAAATCAAAATATAGTTTCAAGTGAACTATAAACTCCTTTCAGGTGAACTATTTCTTTAGATGAACTGCAGTCTTCTTTCAAATGAACTATTAGTGTCACCGTAAAATCAAAATATAGTTTTAGATTAACAGATTTGCTCATGAAACACTTTAACATATTTGGCAACTAATTCCAATATAGATGATTTGGTAGAAAAGTAAATTAAAAAACAACATTAATTACTTAATGTTAAATAATTATTTTGACTTAAATGCTTCAAATTATTTTAAACATTACCTAACTGACTGAATGTATAAAAAGGTTTATTAATAATAAAACCGAAGTTAATAGTTGCAATATTTTTTATATCTCCACTACTTAAACTTACATGAAACAAATCGCTATTTGTTTAAAAATCCCGTAATTTGCTTCAAAACAACACCTTTTATATTTTTAGTATGCTGGAAAATTTGAAAATTTTGGATCGAAAATTTTTATACTTTAGGGAAATTTTCGCATTTGCCCCAAAAAGTTAGCCATCCCTGGATTACGTAAAAATTTAGGCACACTATTTCATTAATTGTAATTTACTAAATCATCTAGATAAACTTTTGAATAAAATGAACACATTTCTAGGCACTTTTTAAGTATTCGTAGATATTAAATACTACTATTCACATGCTTACAGATTTTAGCTTATTACACGTTCTAAGTACAAATTAATATTTTATGAACAAAGATTGGGGACTATTTAAATGTTCCTGTCCTGTGAAGAAAAAAAATCTCTTGACTACTACTTAGCGTTTATTATTTTAACTCTGATACACATCAATGAGTTTATTCAATTTATATTTTTACTTCTTTTCCAAATAATATCCTCGCTCTACGATATAATTTTTACATATCTTAGGAATTATGAAGAAAATTTATTTTATTGTAAGAAGAGAGCTTTACGATGATCAAATTTTTATGAACGGATTTTACGCTCATGTTTATGCAATCAAATTAGCCAAGATTTAAAAACTGCATTTTGTGTTTAGATTTATTTATTTATCAAGAAACGCCATCTCGGTATAATATGATTGACTCGTAAAATCAGAAATATAGCACATAATATATAAAGCTTTTTTTATTTTAAATTTAATCATAATAAAAAGATTGTATTCATATCTAAACACAATTTATGGTCAATAGAAAAAAGTTTATTGTTTGCATAAAATTTTTAGGTCTGATATTTCCTGATGGTTATGGACGTATTTTTCTTCCGCAAAAGTGCTTGAATTATTCAAATTACTCTTAATATTTACATTTTGTAGGGTGAAAGATTATACCACACAGTGAATTTAAAATATAATATAGTTTGATAAAATTATAATAATTAGATTTTAAGTTTACATGGTGAAATATTTAAATAAATTTTAATAAATATAAAATCTACTTTTTTATTTTATATATTGCGAAATGTGTTAGATATTGAAGTTATGGTTACTATGTTTTACGATTACTACGCAATAAGTTATATGCTTCTTTTATGGGTTCCGAAGAACTTAATTCGAAATAACACCACATATTTTAAATATTTAAAAAACACTTCTACGTCATAATTTTAAAAGATCGAAACTACAGAAAATCTATTTTTCATAAAATAGAATTAAATACCACATCAGATTTTATCTCAAAAATTTATGTAACGTAAAACATGATAAATATTTGATTGTTTGCCATTTTAAACGAACTGTTTTTGAAGCTTTGCTTTAAATAAAGTAACATATATGTTTTAATCATAAAAAGTAACAATTGATATTTCAGTTACTTTTTTTTGTTTGAACCTATTTTTTATCATTTGTGATCAATTTATTTTGTACCATTAATAAAAATACATCAAAACTTAAAGTTAGAATTTTTTAAGTCTTAAGTCTATGAAACTTGTGTGATGTTTTTTGACACTTTAAAAAAAGGCAAAAAAAACTCCAAAAATTATTTGTTTTTTAATTAAAAAAACATTACACTGTAATAGGGTGTATTTGTTTTCATTCAAATATTTTGTATGCGAATACTTTTACCGTTATTATATCATTTGAAGGTTTTACTTGAACAGCTGGCAAACTCCATTTATTGAAAACTCTTATTTTTAAACTGAGTTTTATTTGTAAAAAAAATTAAAAAGCACAGATTTTGATACAGAAAAAAAACTAAATAAGTATTTAAAGTTAAAAAATTACTGGATGAATAAAAGTCAACTCCATTCAGAGAGTTTGAAATAAGTGTAGTACGAAAAAAATTAGACTTCTCATCAAAAGCAATTAAAATTTCAAGATATTGAAAGACAATATAACAAAATCTTACTGATGTATATGCCATAAGCTCATTGGAAAATCTAGCTATTTGCAAGCTACTGACGTCATTTGTTTGTTTTATGGCAGTGAACCTCGTAGGAGTAGTTTGTTAAGAATCGGTTTTTCCAATTAGCCTACGGCATATATACCTAAAACTGATGTTTTTGCAAAATATCTTCCCTAAATTTCTACGTAATGCACTAATTATATAATTTCTATTCCATGATTAATTAAAACGTGACTTTTATAGGACGATGCATGGAAAGTATATTTCGATCAACCAGCTCAAGACATTGTTGACGAATTCGCCATGAGATACGGTATCGAATCCATTTACCAAGCCATGACGTAAGATTCATTATCACTTCTTCATTATCATATATATCCAACTATGACGCGCATCATTTTTAGAACCTAAATTTAAGTATGTCAGAAAAAAATCTAAGGAAAATTTTAATGTTAAAAATTTTGATATTGAAAATTTTAGAAATGTAAAAATTATATTGCTTTATTTATTATCGACAATGTTCTGATGATATCTTTTAGTTATTTAATTATATTTAAATAAATTTCTTTTATTTCATTGATTATGCTTCATAGGTTTTATAAATTTAATGGATTCCTTTTCTGTAGTAACATTTAAATAAATTCGTTTTAATTATATTATAATATTTAATTCTATTCCTTCATTTGATTATGTTTAAATGCATTCCTTTCATTTATTTCGTCATGTTTAGTTGTATTCCTTTATTCGATTTTTTTAAATGTATTCTCTTCATTAATTTGAGTAAATTTAAAGACATTCCTTTCATTTACATGATGTATTCCTTTATTTAGTTATGTTTAAATGCATTCCTTTCATTTATTTCGTTATGTTTAGTTGTATTCCTTCATTCTATTTTTTTAAATGTATTCTTTTCATTAATTTGATTAAATTTAAAGATATTCCTTTCATTAACATGATGTATTCCATTATTTAGTTATGTTTAAATGCATTCATTTCATTTATTCTGTTTAAATGTATTCCTTTCATTTATTTCGTTATGTTTAGTTGTATTCCTTCCTTCGATTTTTTTTAATGTATTCTTTTCATTAATTTGATTAAATTTAAAGACATTCCTTTCATTTACATGATGTATTCCTTTATTTAGCTATGTTTAAATGCATTCCTTTCATTTATTCAATTACGCTTTAGATGCATTCATGTCATTCACTTGATCGATATTTTAAAATCCATTCTATTTGTTTTATAGCCACTTCCACTGCCTTTCCACCAAATACATGTGCCAAGGAGTCCCAGCGGTGATGAGCACCCTTTTGGCGAACATCAATGCCTATTACGCCCACACAGCCGCCTCCTCAGCCGTCTCCGCTAGTGATAGATTCGCTGCCTCCAATTTCGGAGTATGTATTCATGTTCTATGTACAGGGTGTTCCATAAACAACGCCCTTCATATATAGTTCTTAAACTTTTTTATAAAATATGAAGTAAAAAGATACACCACTTTCTGTGGGATAAAACAAAGTTATCTAAATCTCATAAATCATTTATGTTGGGGGGGGGTGAGATTAAAAGCTATTTATTTGGAAAATAACATTACTTGACATTTCTAATAGTCTTGAAAAACATTCAAGTTCCATTCAATAATCAAACAGATTTTTTTTATCTCGCCGTAAAAATGGCATCCAATAGCATAGAAAAGTAATTGATCTATTAAATGCACATATTTTTTCTTAAAACAATTTAATAAATAAGTAAAGAGTTGTAAAAGTCATAAAAAATCAGGCTATCATCAATAAAAAATAGCAGCGCAACAAGATCAATTTTTTTTTAAAAAAAGCAAACGATAATTTTGGAATTTCTTGGAGTTGATTGCTTTTCAGACTGAAGTTTTTCTTTTTATTCCCACCAGCTTGCATTTTTAACGTTGCTGTTTTTCTTTTACCTAAAATTGATTTAACGTATTTTTGTATAATTTTTAAGATTTAGTTATTAATAATTGTCTTGGCTCCAATTTTAATATAAATGTGAATAACGAAGAAATAAAAGAATATTATGGAGTCTTACGAGTTATATATTAGCTGTAATTATAAATCAATCTAGCCCATTGGACCAACATCAATTGATGCACTTTTTGCCCCCATGACTTGAAATGGTGTGGAATTTATGAAAGTTTATCCAGAAAAAAACATTTGACTAATGGGTAATCAATGATCGCAATAATCAATGATCGCAATAATGCGAACAATTTTCCCTCTTTTGTATTTAATCGTCATTATCTACTATTTTATGTAATTTATTTAGATTCTTTTTGCTCTAATACAACTAAATTCAGTAACAAAATGTGCAGAAATGTTTTTTTTATAAAATGATGGTTTTATGTTTTAAATTTAAAAAAGATTAATTTTAAATAATATATAATATGTTAAATGATTTAAAAAATGTGTGTAGTAATTTAACACTAGATTGCCCAAGGAAGTTATTTTGACTGCTTTTTAATTTCAAAATAGAAAAACGATGATGTATATGATGACACAATTTCTCAGAATTTTGTGACTTTTATAATTATTTGTATTGTTGATATTTACTACTAACTTGTTATATAACTGAAAATAATATCAAAATATTGAAAATTTATTTTAAACAAATTTCTTTACACATTAGTTATTTTTTCACAATGCAGTCATTTTGACTACTTTTTGGCAATATAGGTATTTCAGTCTTTCTAGTGTTAAATAATAAGTTTAGTAATTTAAAGAAATGCCAAATAAAAAATAAGAAAATTTTTAATTGCTTTAAACTTTGATATGATTTATTTCAATCATAATTTAAAAGTACATGATAAAGATAAATTTTTTATTTACTAATGAATGTAAAAACCCAATGTATCTTTGAATAATTCTAAGAACCTTCTTTAAACTTCTTTGTTTTTTTTAACATCTATTAAATCATGTAGGATTTATGCCTAAGTAAATTAACTTATTCTTTTTTTTTCGGCTTTAATTTGATTAAAGATCTATATCGAACCTACATTATTATTTTTTTTCTTCCTTGCAGAAGGAGAAATTCGTCAAGCTTTTGGACCAACTACATAATTCCTTAAGAATAGATTTATCCATGTATCGAGTAAGTATTTGTTCCTTATTTTTAAATTTTACTATATTATTATCCTGATTTCCTGTTTTTGTCTAACTTTACTTTGTGTTTACTAGAATAATTTCCCTGCTTCAAGTCCAGAAAAGCTTCAAGACTTGAAGTCCACTGTAGATTTATTAACTAGCATCACCTTCTTTAGGATGAAAGTAAGTTTTAAAACAATTTTATTTACATTATAAAAACTTAGCAACAAAATTTAAAGCTAATTAATAATTAATTTTTAATATGCATATTTTTTACGCACTATCATGTATTGTTTTAAATTAATGTAAAGCTAGAAAAGTTTATTTACAATTCAACAAAATAATTTTAAAAATAGTAAATGTTAATTTTTATACCATTTATTATTATGTTGACTACATTTGTTTTTATGCATTTTCGTAATTATTTTGTTAGTTTCAAATTTTAAGCAAACAACTGTAATAATAACAATAAAGCACTTTCAGCAAATCTAGCCTTGCGAGGTAACAGAGATTTATTTATAGTTATTAATAATAACAATTATTAAAATACATTACTTAAATTTAATTACAATTATTATTGTATAAGTAATAACTACAATTAAATCAATAACAATAATCTTGAAATTAAGTTATTGTTTGGTTTTTATAAACAAATATGATGTTGAAAATGAATTTTTTACCTTATTTATCCTAGAGTAACTAAATTTAAATCAGTATTAATCTGTAACTTATCATTCGAGTCAATAGACTTCAAATTAAAAACAAGTATACTTTTATATTCCAGTTATTTTTTTTCAAATAAAATAGCGTAACTTAAGAAAAAATATTTTACCATTTCAATAAAAAAAATATAAATATAGTAAAAATTATCATTTACGTTCTTGGCAGATATTAAATGTGCTCTCTCCTTAAATAGCCTTGCTGCAGTAATTGCATGCGCAACAACTCCATCAAACTTCACAATATATCAGATTTTTGTTGAATATTTATTTCAATTTTCAAAGTTTTATTTGAATGACATCTAATCCAATATACTTATAGTGGTTATCAATTAGAAAGAAGAAAAAAAAGCCTTTAAATGGGCTAAATTGGAAAATTTTACGCTCATTTTAACATGTGTTTAAATAAATTTTACTCGGTAATTTTTTGGTCACTATGGTAGAAAATTATCCGAATTAATTTTAATATTTTTTTTACCATAGAGCAATGAAAGCATGGAACAATATTGCTTTACCAAAAAACTGGTAAAAAATATTTGCTTTAGACTCTCATCACAATAGACTCATGACTTATTTATTGGATGTAATTCAAATAGCTCATTATCTATTGAAATGACCCGACAATTTCTGATGTAATACAATTAAATGGAATAAACAATATTTTTAACGTAAACCACGGTCTAAAATAATTGAAGCTAATAAATTAAGTTTAACTCAAGAAAAATAGACATTCAGCAAAATATATCTTTTGTAGTACAACAGGCAACTGATGAATGCATTTTTTTGTGTAACCAGGTACAGGAACTGTCGAGTCCACCCCGGGCAAGCACCGTGGTTAAAGACTGCGTTAAGGCCTGCTTGCGGTCCACTTATCAGTTCCTGTTCGAGAACTGCTACGATTTGTACGGGCGGGAGTTCCAGGTAGAACCTCAAGACAAGAACAGAGAGGAAGATCATGGACCCAGCCTCCACAACCTCGACTTCTGGCACAAACTGATCGCCCTCATGGTATCTGTGATAGAGGAGGACAGGAACAGCTATACACCCGTTCTCAACCAGTAAGTAAACTGTTCCATATTTCCCATCTATTCCACTGTTAACGAACGAAAGTTTTTGCTTTGTTAGTATTAGACAAACTTACCGTCTTCTCACTGCTGTGAAACCAAGCTTATTGAATGTTATTCCTTTTTATTTTAGTTATGTTAATTAATCATTGTCATTGTTTGACTTTTTTGTCTCATATTTCGCTCCCTTGTTAAATAAAAGTTTCATTAATATACAGTGTATTTAATTGAGAACTTGCCATCTTCAATACACTTTAATTAAGAACCACTGAAATGGGTAATTTTTTTTCTTTGGGGTAGACATTTAAAATCGTTCTCCAGATTCTAGAAATTTCCCCAGTCATTGTTGAAGAACTTTCTAACTAACCCAAAAACTCGGCGTTGTAGTCCGTAAAATTGAATTGCTTTTGCTGGGTAGTTCGTCATGATCAAAAGATTGACAACTGCTGCTTTTTTGGAAATAACTTCTCGGACTTTTTTTTTTCCTTTTTCTACAACTTTTCCTTTAGGGGACGTTTAAAATCTCATTCTAATCAGTTGTGAAACTCTCCACTTGTCCCAAAAGTAGTAGTTGACGTGATTTTTTTTTTTTTTACTTTGTGGTCCCCGAGGATTAAAGGATTGACGAGTTCTCGAACAATTTTTGCTATTGGTATAACGATGCGTTTAGGGCTTTTGCGATTGGTTCTACATACATTGGTTTTTTATTCTTAGATTTCCTCAGGAGCTCAACTGTGGTCAGCTGAGTGCCGGCACCATGTGGTCCTTATTTGCAATAGATATGAAATACGCCCTCGAAGGTATGTATTTGAATAAATTTCTTTCACAATGTTTCTAATATAGAGATGTCTAAGCTGATGTTACTTCACTTGCCTATTCACTGACAATCCGTCAATAATCAAACAGTTAAATAGCAACCAATAGGAATACGTCTCTACTTGGATTGGAATACATATTCGTTCAATAGGGGAATAGTGCAAACCTCTAGCTGTCATTCGCAACCACAAAATTATGACGATTGATTTATTCCTGTGAAGGATTGCAGTGCAGCCTCCGGGTTAAGTAAATTATTCTATTGCTGTTAAATAACTAAAATGCTAAAGCAATGATTTATTTAATATTTACAGTTAATCTGTTGTTCTATGAAAGCCAATCAACATGGTATTTCAGTTACTAAACTTTTAGCAACTATATTTCTTTTTTCACAAATATCATAGAATCATGTTTAGCTACATTTAAAATTAAATACTTTTTTAAACTTTATGTGTACGTTGTACGGTTTAAATGATATTTTTTCCAATACTATCTAATTTTCAGTACAAGTGATCTGCTAAAATATTTTAAATCAAAATTTTAGTGACTAAAACACTTGTAGTGCAATTTTTAATGCACTAGCTTCATATTTTACTGATTTAATATGTATAATACAATACACGCTTTGTAACAAAGTTTTGCAAGAATAATTTTTTTTAAAAATTTCCATTTTTGATGTAAATTAATAATTTTGAAAGTTATTTATGCACAGTATTATACTGCCGTTATTTATTTTAAATCTTCTCCTATAGTAGTATACTACAGTTAGAACATTTATTTATTCATTTATTTATTTTTTTATTCATTTACTTATTCATTTATTTATTTATTTATTCATTTATTTATTTATTTTGCAGAACATGAGGCGCATAGGTTTTGCAAAAGTTCTGCGTATATGAATCTCCATTTTAAAGTGAAATGGTTTTATACTAATTATGTTAAAGACGTCCCTTCATACAAAGAAACAGTACCTGAATATGCTACGTAAGTATCTTCACCTCAGCTACATTATTCTGTTCTTGTCTTGTACTTATAACATCATAAACATAATGCAAATTAACTTAAAATTAAATAAAATTATTTAAAAATCCCTCTAGATGAAAAACAGAAAAAAAATCACCTATGAAAAAAATAACAAATTATCGACTAAATGCAATCAATACGTATTTTAGATTTTTCCATCCATTTTTCAATAGAATGAGGTGCTTTTTAAAAAATAAAATTCAAAATTCGCAACAACAAAAATAAAAATAATAGCCAATTTAAGGAAATACCTACCTGTTGAGAGATAAAAGATTTAATTTTAGAGGTAGCTTTTAATTTACAGTAACCTACTCAAAGGTATAAGATTAAATTTAAAACAGTCAGTCTAACTTTGACGTCAATCGTTAAAGATTTATTCCAGTTATTACTTAGACTGACTTAAAAAAAAAAATTTGCTAAAAATACTTTTGAAATTTTATTGCGATGGATTGAGTTAAATGAATTAGATATTCAAAAAAAGTCAGAATTCAAGTATACTTACATAGTTTTTCAGCTCTTGTAATCTTGTAAATAACCACCTAATTAAGTTTTTTAAAAAAATATTTTTTCTTTATTCCTTGAAAGTACTTTTTTTACAAAAATCAATGACGTATATTATTTTCTCTTATAGATATTATAAATATGTTTTAAGATGTTATACTTTTAAAATATGTTCCTATATAAGAGTGTATCTTTTGGACAGGTGGTTCGAACCATTTGTGATGCAATGGCTGAATGAAAATGACGATGTTTCCTTGGAATACCTCAACAGTGCCTTTTTGAGAGATAAGAAAGATGGGGTAACTATTTACTATTTTATTTTTTACCACTACTTTATTTTACTCAATTTTTATCTCTATTTTATTGTTACACTATTTTCACTATTTTATTTTATTTTATTTTTTACTATTTCTTTAGCAATAACTTATTTTAAGGACATATTCTGAGGCAATTTACCTGTATTGTTAAGAAAATTAACAGCATTCAAATAAGGATTTTTTTTCTTCTTCTATTTTCAGTTCAGCCAGAGTTCAGAGCATGCGTTGTTCTCTAATTCTGTTGTTGATGTGTTCACGCAGTTGACGCAGTGTTTCGATGTGATAAGTAAATTAGAATGTCCAGATCCAGAACTGATCAAAAGATATATGAAGAGATTTGCCAAGGTATGCATTTCATTATTTTAAATGCCAGGATGCAGAACATATTCTGGATCTTCTGTGATCACCCATTATACATACATTTGGACGGCTAAGTATTAAGAAACGTCAAAATCTGACGAATTACAAATGAGAATTGGCAGATCAAAAATATAAAAACATGCTTAATGGGTTGTAAATTTATCTGAAATACCTTTCAAATTTCTCCCTACAATCAAACTGGTTTTGATATTTTTAGTTCTGCCTTCCTTCTTCATATTGTAATAAAGATTTTTTTTTTCTTTTAAAAATATTTATTTGCAACCCCTGAAGTTTGTATAATTTTTATTTCATTTTTGTACTTAAACTGATTTATTTATAAGTTTGTTTCGTTAAATTTAGTATAACAAGTTGCAAAAATCTCTAAATTTAAATAAAACTGCTAATAGAATTAAATGAATAATCCCAAGAAACTGGAGTATAAAGTTATGCTTGATAATATTAGAACTTCATTTGTTTCAAAAATCATAAAGCTTGTAAAAGTTGATAAGCTTCAAGCTCTCAAAAATAGGCATTCAGTTTCAAGACTCAACAGATATGAATGAGGAAAAATCATATTTGAAAAAGAAAACGTAACGTTGTCAATGAAAAATTGAAAAACAAAGTAAAATTTAAAAGCAAAACTTAAAAATACCATGGTTTCCGAATGACGCAAATCAGGCAGAATGCATTTCCAAGCGCTATGGAGGAGTAGGATAGCAACTTATACCATTAACTGCGCAATCAACATTTATGTGAACGAAGCAAGATACCAGACCTTCAAAATGAGTTGTCATAAAAGTAAAAAAAAAAATGGAGCTATTGAAATTAAATTAATGCAATAGGCGCAGAAAATATGTGTCACTAGATGATTTATCGAATTCTTAATGATGGACATTATTATCATGTTCTTCCTTTTATCATAATTTTATAACACGTCTATTTTGCTCAATGCGCCGACCAGGTGGCCGAGTAGTTGGCGTACCTGACTGCGGAGCCGATGGTTGCAGGTTTGAATCCCGCTCAGGGCATGGATGTTTCTTTCTCTCTCTCTCTCTCTGTGTTCTATGTCCTTTCCTCTTTGTGTGAATGTAACCTGCCCTATCAACGGGTTTGTGGTTGTATGACGTGGGCGACGCTACTCCACAGCCGTGGCTTAGCCATAGGTGCTCCCTGGGTAACGATAAGAGAGTAGCAATTTTGGCATTTCTGAGGCCAATGGGAAATAGACCCAAGTGCCCGCCATTAACCAAAAAAAAAGAATTTTTGCCCAATGTGGCTAAGCATGGCATGTGGTAAATGTCTAGCCATTTTCAACTATCAAAAAATGACTTCAAAGCTATTGCAAGGTATATGAAATTAACTTTAACAAAAAACATGCATGAAAACATAACTTTAAGCATGGTGCATAGCGTTTTTAAAAAGTGCTTAAATGTTCTTATCTTCGATTTTCATTATTTAAAAGCCTTTAAAGGTGCTTTTTTCATTGAGTGTTTTTAAAAAAGTGCTTAAATTTCCCTTTTCGAAAAATAATTTTTTTTCATTATCTTGTCGATTTTTGCCACGTATTTTGTTGTTGTTGTTGTTACTTTACGTCGCACTAGAGCTGCACAATGGGCTATTGGCGACGGTCTGGGAAACATCCCGGAGGATGATCCGAAGACATGCCATCACAATTTTGATCCTCTGCGGAGGGGATGGCACCCCCGCTTCGGTAGCCCGACGACCTGCGCGCGAAGTCGAGCACTTTACGGTAGCACAGTTTAACGAGGACCAATACCGCACACCCTCGGTCCCTACGCAGACTGATCCAAGTGGTCACCCACCCGCACACTGACCGCAGCCAGTGATGCTTGACTTCGGTGATCTGCTGGGAACCGTGTCTTAGCGATCAGTCCACTGCGGGACGCCACGTATTTTGCAAAAGCATGCTTTTCACATCGTTCTGTTCAACGTTTTCACAATTCATTCAACCACAATCTATTTCGGCGTACCGTAGGTCCATAGCGTATGAAAGCTTCAATCATTTTACATGTTTGATGAAATATTTGCGAGTCCGCTTGTGTGTCTACGGAGCTGAGTTCGGTGAGATTATTGCACTCTCATGTGTAGTTCTGCTGTATTTTGCAAGATATTCTCAATTTCAGGCTTCATTTTCCACCCTCTGATGCGACATCTGACCGAAAAATCTCTTGATCATTTCATAATGGCTAATATAATCAAGAAGAGTTCTTTGTCAGAAACTAGTTATTTTATCATGATCATCTAAAATCTTCGAAAATTATTTCGCATTTTGTTAAAGTATGAAATGCTTAAAAATATTTTTTGAGTCCTTAAAAAGTACTTAAAATGTGCTTATTTTTGTTGAGAGATTTGACTATGCGCCCTGTTTGAATGAAATTGAGGTTTTAAAAATTAATTTTACTAAAATTTTGCTCTTAAAAAATTTATTTTAAACAAGTTTAAACATATTTCTTTTAAAAAATTCTTTAAAAAATTGAAGTGTAAATTATATTGATATTTGAATATTCTTTTCCTTGCAGACGATAGTGAAGGTGCTAACTGCTTATGCTGATATAGTTAAAAAAGAATTTCCAAATTTTATTAGCCAAGAAAAAACAGTAAGAAACGTTTTATAATTGAATTTATTTAATGTATTTAATGAATGTTGTATTCAAAACTTGACATTTTTCATCTTTCTGCAGGCTTGTATATTAATGAACAATATTCAACAACTGCGGGTACAGTTGGAGAAAATGTTCGAATCCATGGGTGGAGAAAAGGTAAAAAAAAATCTTTTTTCATTTCAATAAAACTATTTAAAACTGTTAGTTTATAAGTTATTTGAGGATCAAGTACCTTTTAAAAATGATTACTAACCATGAAAGCGATGTAAAATTAAAAAGAAGTTATATTATAGATTACTTTGTATTTATAATTGAATTACATTTTGCAGATTTATTCCTTTCGTTACGGGAATATTTATGTTTAGTGATTGCACAGTATCGCTATAAAACAGTGATAGCGCACCTATCACTGTACAAAGTGGATAGATATTTTCAAGAATTTTGTTTTAAAAAGTTTTTCACCATTTCCGTTGTAAAAAAATCAAAGCTGTATGATTTTAGATTCAAACCTACAGATTAAAATAAGTCACATATTTCTTGCCTTTTCTAATTATGCGTTCAGATTAAAACTATTTGCTTCTATTATTGTGTAATGTAAAAAGTTCGTCGTTACTTCGTTGACAAAATGTGTCGCTAAAAGCAAAATAGTTGATATTTGACTGATAAAAAAAAAATTCAGGCAATTAAACCAATTTTTTTTTAAACATGAAAATGATTTTAAAATAAATTATTTAAGTTTAATGTGTGAGTGTTGAACAATATTTAACCAGTTATTAATAACATTTATTGAACTATTTATTAGTATAATTATTGAACCATTTAGATTCAAAATTTTAACTCTTTTTCCTAAACATTTGGATTATGATGGATGACTAGGCAAAATTTATGTTCGTAACCATGGAATCATATTTTATTTAATGTTTAGTAAAAAAGCATTCTTGAAGAAAATAATTCTTTAAATAATGTATACGTAATACAATAACTGTTGCTACTGTGGGAAAAAACATCGTCATCTTTTCTCCTTCTTTATTTCTGAAAATTTCAAAACTAGTTGAATGTTTTTTCAAATTTTTCTTCAAGCTGGACGATGAGGCTGCTGGCATCCTCAACGAGCTACAACAACAACTGAATACCGTATTAGATGATCTTAGCGTCATTTTCGCCAAAAGGTAAAAACATCTTTTTGAATCTGTGAAATTACATACTTTAAATATGCAGTTTTCAAAACTCACGGTCAAATCTTAAGGATTACTAGAAATATTATTCACCATAAGGCTTATAAGGATCAAGATTCCATCGTTTTTTAACGACGTTCTCACTTTTCGTGTAAATGAGTCGTATCGTGAAATGCGTGAGTTTGTGGAAATGGATGTACAGTGCGCAAAATGAAAAAGACGACCCTGAATAACTTTTGATCCAATAATGGGATCTTCACGTTCAAGAACTCAATCTTAAAGGTTCAAAGTGGTGACTTCAAATAGGTTAAATTAGTTAGTGAAGACGATATTTTAAGTTGCGAATTCAGACATGGAAGCGTACTTTATCTAAATAAACATACCATTTTTTCGACGGATTAGAAATTTCTGACCGCAATCTTGAAAATATAGTCCTGATAGTTTGGTCAGGAGAACAGTCCAAAGTTTGGACCTCTTAATGTTAATTTTATTTTTGCTTATTTCACCATATCTTGAAACTTTTTAAGCGAATTGAAAAATCTTTGCTCACAATTTTAAAATTCATTGAATTTTAAAGAAGCCGTATTTTTAAAATTTGATTTCTCAGAAACTATTTAACCAATTTCGTTCAAATTTTATATTTTACCATGTAAAATTACATTCTTTAAAATGGTGTAAAAAATTTTAGACCTTACAATTTAGCATTTTTTGGAAAAATTATTAAATAAAATAATAAAAAATATTTACTGGAATTTTTGTTTTTCATGAAATTATCTTTAAATTAACGAATTTTAAAATCGTGTACAAAAGTTATTCAATTCACTCAAAACAGTTTTTGAGATATGGTGAAACATTCACAAAAAAAACAATAAGGGTTCAAACTTTGGATCGCTCTCCTGACCCAGCTATTAAGACCATATTTCCCAGATTGCGGCTACCCCCTATATGCTAATTAATTAGTGCTGACGATATTTTAAGACCACTCCCTCTAACCATTAAGAGTGAGTACTAAACTTGAACCGATAAATAGATCAAAAGTTATTCAAGGTAGTTCGTTTTTTATTTTGCACACTGTACAAGGAGGAAACAATAAACTATACATATTTTCTAGCTTGAAGAAATAATATGACGCGTATAATTACAATTTAAAACATCTTTGTCACCTGTTACCTGTAACTTGGCAAAACTAGCATGATTAATATCCTATTTGCACGAGAACTGAAAAGAGGCATCAGAAAGCAGTCTTCCGACGTCACAAACCTGAAAAATAGGCCTATCAGATTTATCCATTCCTGGTTTTAAGAACTCCACCTAGCAAATTATTAGTGAAAAATAAACACGTGACGTAGAGAGCCAATCATCACGCGCCTGAATTTCGACCTGACCCAAAGTTATCTTCCCATGGCAATACTTGCCTGAAAGCAGACCAGGAAAATCGGAGATGTAAAATCAGGTGTTTGTTCGTCTTGTAACGTCGTGAGTCTATTACGAGCTTGTACTCCATTTACACGAGTCGGGTCTCGTGTAAATGGGGTGTAAGCTCATAATAGCCCACCGCTCTTAGCTACAGTTGAAAAAAAAGTGATTAGCTTTTATATTATGATGTAGGTCTTGTGGTCACGGGTTCTAAGACTATAACGCGAAAAACATTTTTTACTTTTGAAATTAAAAACAAAATTTACCGATATCTGTGTCTCAAAAACAAGAATTTAAAAATAAATAAAAGAAATCAACAACTGAATAAAGAAAAAAGCTTTAAGAAATGAAACATTCAGCACAATAGTGATGATTTTAACATGACCACTACACTTTAAATATACAGTACGAAAAAAAAAAACGCAACACACTGAATAACTTTTAATCTAGGATTTAAAAGCAATACGAGCAAACTATGAAAACTGCTGACCATCTCTCAGCTGGATGAATTTTTAATTAACCCTTTAATAGATAAAACTATAGCCTAATGTCGAATATTACACAAGTCTGGTTCTTGTGAAGGCTTATGCGTCGTAATTATTTTTGCAGCTTGGAAGGGACGATTAGAGAAAGCATGCAGGAGTTGTCTGCTTTGCTATCTGCAGTCAAAGGCACGGGTCAAGTCTCTATGAATCAAGTGTCGCAGAGGAATGAAGTAATGGCTGAAGCCGACCACGTCCTCCACCCACTCATGGACATCTTGGATGGAAAGCTTTCCATGTTCTACCAAGTCTGCGAACGCACAGTACTTAAACGCCTACTCAAAGTGAGTATTCGATTAGAAGTAATCTGTCTAGTTTTAATCTTGACCATGGAAATTCCTAATAAGATTTGTCGTTCATTCCGGTATCAGATACTATCAGCACAGTTTGCTCAATCGGTCTGATTGAGCAACTGTGATGATAGTATGATGATGAGATGAACTGAAAATTGACCTCACTATTGAATTGGGAAATATCTTCTATATCCGAAAATATGTCTATAATTTATACGCCTCTTTCCTGCTTTCTAGGAACTATGGAAGATTGTGATAACTACCATGGAAAAAATAGTGGTTTTGCCACCCATATCTGAAAAGAATGTAAGTTATTTAGTAGATCTATCGTACTGTGTGGGTTTTAAATTGGTCACATGCTAAAGAGTTGGTGCGTTTTATTACAGGTGATACTCCCTAACCTTCCCAATGCCAAAATAGAAGATATGGGTCGACTTCTCCGAAACCACGTCACCGCCACCACGAAATTGCCTTCAGCTCTAGGCGTTATGGTACGATTTAATCAACTTTTCTACTTAATGTCATGATTTTAAGCAAAAAAAAATTAAGAACTCACAAATTTTGACCTTTAATAAAACCATTTATTTAAAAAAAAAAACTTTTTTTTTACTATACTCTGAAAGTACATTTATAAATTTCTGAAACATTTCTTATTATCAAAAACTTTTGATTGAGAAAATATGTTTCAGAAGACCGTACTAAAAAACTAGACCGTATTTACCTTGATCTTATCAAACTTATGTTTTGAAGCTACTTATTTAGAATTTAGCAAAACCTCTAGTAATTATCATGAAAATTCCAAAACTTTTGAATTCATTTGACACTTCTGCAAATAAAAATATCCTTGAAACTGAAAGTAAAATATTTCGTATACTTGAAATCGCATTTTTATGTTTATTATTCCGATAAAATATTTGTTACGTAAAACAATTTGCTTCTATTACCATATTTTTACTTTTTTTTCTCTAGCAGTCAAAAAATAATCAATTGCAATTACCTTAAAAAGAATCACAAAAATTTTTTTAAAAACTATCCTTACATTATTCACAAGTACTCGTATAATATATTGCCTTTAACTTCCTTAACCACTTCATAAACATACTATAATGGTGTGATTTAAAAGTGTTAGAAGCTATAGTAAATATATTTCAAAATTCATTTTACATCTTGAACATAAGTTAAAGAACTGGTGTTCGATCCCCATCGGTGACTTGAACTCCACCCAACTTCAAATTGATGGGTACCTTTTTCATGATCCCCTGGCCCACAATGGGCTGCTGCGGGCATGCTTTACTTCTTTTACATACAGAATTTTTTTAATGCCATGTGGATGTATTCGTTTAAACTTAAAAAACGTAATCCTATAAAGTAGTTGGCAAATACTGAAAAAATAACTGGTGAATACTTTTCATAGTTTGATGAAATCTTAAAAAAAAAGGTTTAAAGTGTTTATCAAAATTTAATTCTAAAACTAAATACTCCAAAATTTTTAAAACTGACAAAGAACCACTTTCTTTGAACTAATGAAAATTCACTAAAATATTTACTTTAATATTTTGATGTTTGATGTTGACTATTCTTGCGTTAAGCCACAGATTCAGCAACGAGTATTTTAACAGTCTCTCTTTTGTACTTGCAACAGGTTGAGAAGAACTTGACGCCAAAGCAGTGTGCCGTGCTCGACGTAGCACTCGATACCATCAAACAGTACTTCCATGCAAACGGGAACGGCCTGAAGAAGGCATTCCTGGACAAGAGTGCAGAACTGCAATCCCTCCGATACGCCCTCTCTCTCTACACGCAGACCACGGACACACTCATCAAGACATTCGTCACGACTCAACTCAAACAAGGTGAGTTTTTTCGTTTCCCCGTGGACTGATATAAGCTTTTGGTTTTCTCGAACATGCTTCTGGGCTTCGGTAATTTGAAACTTGACTTCACTTAAAGTGTCAGCTCCACGGAAAAGTCAGTTCGTTGTTAACAACATTACTATTTCGTTCAAAGGTGCCAGAAAGCTGTTATACTAGTATCTGTTGCAGCAATGGCAAGTAATCAGAATTTTAGGGACTTTGAATGGGGTTTTATAGTTGACGCATGAGGTATGGGGCATCTTCGCGTTTGCAATGAAATTAGAATTTTCTAGTTAGACCATTTCAAGTGTGTACCATGCATATCGTATATTCATTAAAACATTATCTCCGACATCATTGTGGTCGAAAAAGGACCTTGAAAAAACATAACCATCGACGAGCATCATTAAACGATATAAATCCTTGCAAGTTTTCTTTGTTGAGACATCAGCAAGTGTAACTATAAGAACTTTGCAAAGGATCGTTATTGATATGATGTTTCGTTAACGAAATCCCACTCATATAGCATTGTTTAATTCTTGCCACAAGGCTTATTTATTTAAAGAAGCTTTACCATTCGTAATGGGTGAATTTGTTTTTACAAATAATTATATCAGTTCAGATCATTTTTACCAAATTTTATTCATCGATGTCTTTTCATGACGTCAACAGAAGTGGCATTTTCGCACCGAGAAAATGACACTGACTAAAATTAAAATAGTTTACAAAAAATAATGTACCTTCGATAACAATTTAAGTCAATGTAGGTAACCTCTAAGGAGACCAACCTCCATCAACAAACATTTTACTTTGGAATGGAGAGTGGTCGCTACCGTGAGGTTTCACTGCATATTCTTCATTGTCGACTTCAAAATTATTACTGTAAAGGTCTGGTTTCTTAGGACAAGCTCCTTATCTGGGCGTCAGCGGGCCGTCAACGTCCCGCTGACGCCAACAAAATACTGGTTTGTTAACTCAAGGTCTGGTTTCTTAGAACTAGCGCCTTATCTGGGCGTCAGCGGAAAGTTGACGTAGAACTGACGACAAAAAAATGCTTTTTTGTTAGCTCAGCGTGAGCAGTCGGTTCAACGCAGACATTATCTCTCATTGCGCATGCGTTAATAACGTAAACAAATACTTATTTTGAATTTGTATTGATTTTGTTATTGTCGACCAGTGTTTTAGAGAACAAATAATGACTATGTCCAAAAAAACACATTATAGCTGAGCTAAATGAAGAATGCTATGTTTAATGAAGAAGCTATGTTTTAAGTCAAAATCAAAATCTTGACTGATTTCAATGTGCTGTTGGATGTTGTCCGCCATTGCTTCTGTGGTTAACGTCACGTTGTAATCCATCTGCAGTTGAGTTGGACAGCAATTGTAGTTCCAGATGAGCGTTCGATGACGTATACTATCAAATTCACAAATGGACCAATCAGAGGTTAGCGCTGATTTCCAGCTGACGGCGTTCTATCCTAAGAAACCAGGCCTTAAGTCTACCTATTTTTCTCTCCGAATAAATGATAAAAAAAATCCAGTTAAATTTTGACAATTTTTGTCATTTTTAAATGTTGTAAACAGCAAATATACACACATTTGCATTGATCTGCCACACTGTTTTATTAAAATGTTATAAAATTATCCCTGAAATGTCTTGGCTTTATGTTGCTCGGTATAAAAGCGCTGTTTGACAGAGACATTTTTCATAAGAATAAAATCACCTCGCTCAGTAATTCTGATTTCCTATGTACATTTCATACAACCTAATTAATTCTTATTCGCTTAAGCTATAGAAAACTCTTTGCATTGTATTCCCACACCTACTGCACACAAAAAACTCTAAAACTTGAATTGCTTTGATTCAGTTTTTTTCCTTTGTTTCTGTTCTGCTTTTCTGTTTTGTGAGAAATTTTACACTGTTTCTTTTAAAACGTTTCTTTTCTAAGAATAACTGTCTCCATACTTATACACTATTTCAACAACAAAAATTATATTTGGTATCCCTACCATCGATGAAGTAGTTATTAAAGCTACCAAAATGATAAAGCTTTCTTAGACCGCTTCTTTTCAAAACTTCTTCACAAAACAGTGGATGCAATTGTTTTATGCAATAGGGCCGAACATAATGCAAATTTTACCCTTTTCCTAAAAAACAAACATCTTCCTTACATCTAGCGCGCGTACAAGTAGACTTTTCAATAAGTCTCAATATTTATTATTTATAGTTGAAAATAAGTATTCAGATTTTCTGTGGTTCGTTTTACGTATTTTAACAATGTATTTCATTACAGATGCTCCGACAGCTGAAGAGGGAAGTGTGGGTGAAGTATCCATCCAAGTCGATCTCTTCACTCATCCTGGTACAGGAGAGCACAAAATTACCGTAAAAGGTACAGAGAGTGCCAATTTTTTTAATATTCAAATATCATATCTTGGACAATTACTATAGGGTATGATTTGTTGTTTTTCAGTTGTGGCGGCTAACGATTTGAAGTGGCCTAGCACCAGCATGTTCCGGCCATTTGTTGAGGTGAACCTAATCGGGCCACATTTAAGTGACAAACGAAGAAAGCACGGTACAAAATCCAAAAATAATAATTGGTCACCCAAATACAACGAGACATTTCACTTGTAAGTACTCTTAAAGCCCTATATTTATTGTGTTTACCCTTAAAATATAACTATATTACCCTCTTGTGTCTTTTAAAAATAATGCTACAAGATAGCAGATTGCATGCTTATAAAATTTCTTTAGATATTAATGTTTTTTTCAAATTTCAAACACTATAAGTTCTACCCATCTCTTTTTTTTCATTTCCCTTAAAATTATGGTATATGTAGGCTAAATAGTTATCTTAAGACTTTAGAATTAAGCTTATAGTTAAATATCTGTACTTCAATTGTTAAAAATATAACTACTTCAAAAGGCCCAGTTATAGGATCTAAGCAAATTCCATTCCATGATTCGGCCACAGTTAAGCTAATTTTATTTCATTTTATAACTGTTGTTGAACAGCTAACCCAATTTTGAGTTTACGATTATTACTATTTTGAACCGATCACAAATAATCATTAATTAATTATTCCGGTGGGTATCATTTTCCATGCAACAATCGAGCAAACCGTTCGAGCCTCCAGCAGTTTAAAAAATTAACTTCGTGAAATATTTATATGAATCTGCAAAACGTGGTATTTGTAAAAATCAGTAAATGAATAATCTCTTCTCCTACAGCATTACGAATTACACCTACAATATGACAGAAAGTACAAAATGATTTTGATTTCAATTCAAAGGCGGGGAATCTCACTGCGAACATTGCGCCATATCTTAACAATATTATCTTAACAGTAGCGACGAATTCAAGTTTTCTCTTCGTTGCATGGCATGCAACGCCAAATTTATGAGATGCGACGCCGACAGAGAAGGGGTTAAGCAAACTTTGATCACTATTCTAATTCTGTAGCTCTTTTTAAAATAAGTAACCAAAACAAAATAGATAAAACGCATAGTTTAAGTTATTTTTCCTACGCCATAAAGTATTTTAATTTTTTCAAAAAATTAAGTTATTAGGTGAATCGCATTTCAAGTAAGTTCTGAAGTTCTGTGTTTAACTTTAACCATTGTGTTCAACAAATCAACTGATGAAACAACGAGTCTAATTTATGGTATTTACATTAGCCTCAGATGCTAAAGAGTTTGGTCTTAAAATATTTATGTTTGACTGATGATGATGTTGAATCAAAACTAATGCTACAAATTTGAGTCGTGGTATTTGTATTCGGCCAGAATTGATACCAAGTTTTGCGACTTGTTTGTAGATATTTTCTTCGTCTTGTAGCTACGATTATGACAAACACTGTGACTGACTCGTCAATTTAGACACTCCTGCAATTGAAAAGCGAACCAATAATTAGAATCTCTCGTACTCCTTCGATTGCTGTTCCATCGTGACCGGTTATTACAATTCAGCTCTAAGATTACGTCATAATCAGACTTTTATCCTTAAGAGTTATCCTTTCTGTAATCTTTATGGAGCAATCTGCTCCGTAATTAATCAAAGACAATAAATTACCAACTTGAATTAATAGCGGTTACTGATGAAGATTGAATCGTGATTTTGAAAATTCGTCTCGAAATTATTTTATAAATGTTAATAAGAGATACATTGTTCAGTTATCATATTATTTACATGAAGTTGTCATGGAGTGCTAAAATGAAATTATCTTTCTATCCCACTGATTTTTATGCCGCCATCTTTAAAAAGGCAATAGCTGCTTTGTGATTGGTTAAAATCGAAATATAGTATTGATCACGTGACAAAAACCTTCCGTAATATTTCAGTTCAATCTAAAAACAGACATTTTTATTCGAATCAATCGAGCAGAAACCAGCAGTTCGATCAAATTTCGTTTCACTAGCATAGAAACCTTAGGCATCAGTACAAAATCTCTGTCCCATCAACTAAAGAAAATGTATACTTTCTATTCCAAATGTAATGAAATAAAATATCGGATTTGTATAGTGTTAACTCTTGACCTTTCTAGGAGGGAGGTTTGATTTCTTACATATGCTTGTATCTACCATGACTGAATTTTTTGTTTCATTTTTTCTTACAGCATTATCGGTAATGAAGAAGAACCATCTTCTTTTGAATTGCATATCTGTGTAAAAGACTATTGCTTCGCTCGCGAAGACCGCTTGGTGGGAGTAGCCGTCATGCAGTTGCGAGACATCATCGAACAAGGAAGCTGTGCATGTTGGTTACCCCTTGGACGACGAGTCAACATGGACGAGACGGGATGGACAGTTCTCCGAATTCTATCTCAGCGCACCAACGACGAGGTCGCGAGGGAGTTTGTCAAGCTGAAATCAGAAGTCAGGAATGACGAGAACATACCTGTTCAGTAAATTACCACCCCCTTCCTCATGTGGGAAATAAAAAAAATTCCGTGCTCGAACCATAACCACACTCGTCGACCACATTTCCTTCCAGAAGGGAAAGGTGGACTGAAAACGACGAGGTAGTCTTCGTCCGGCGGTCACGTCATAACAAAGTTGTTCTTCCGGCATTTGCTCATCTTCAATGGACACTCCTTCTTCTTCAGGACGAAGAAGACGCTCTTCTTCTTCTTCTTCGAAAACAAAGTCTTCACCACCAGTCCCCCTGGTGGCTGAATCTTCGATCCGTTGGTGTCTTTACTTGCATCGATTCTTCTTTGGTTTTTGTTTTCATGAGTGGATGAAAATGCAAGTTTCGAAACATTTTAAAGCTAGGATCTCGCTCTCATCTTTTACTACTTAAAACTTTTTTGCATTCCTTGTTTTTACCATTGCTTTACCCTTGTGTCACATGACAAAATATCTATTAAACCAGCGTCGCAATATATATAAAGATCTCTCACAATAAACAACTTTATATGGTTATCAGTTTAAGAATTACAAAAATACATTAATAAGTTGTAAAGAATCATTTTACATCTATAACGTAGTACGATTAATATGTTATGATGCATATTGAAAGGTATTTTGAACATGTTATGAGGTATTTTGAACATGTTATGAGGTATTTTGAACTTGTCATGAGATATTTTGCAAAAAAAATAATAATAACATTTATGACCACTTTTTGTACCAAGAAATATTATTCGCGTTAGTTATAAATGCATAAAAATTAAATAAAGACCAAAAACTATTAACGAAATCCATCTATTTATAGTCATCGGTATTCTTTTGTTACTATTTGCGATAAATTAGGTTTGCTTTGCAAATAATTCATCATCACTACTAAAAATTTCAGAAGTAAGAGGTTCAGATTTTAGAAGAATATCTGAATAATCTGTATAACTTTCGATAAAATAATTAAATCAATTTTGATAATTTCTGTTAAAATAACTCTTTCTGTACGAATTCAAAGTTAATAAAGCTATGAAGTGAGTGTAAAAGACATCAAGAGTGATTTTATCAAAAAATATTTTAATTTCTTGATTTTTTAGTTGTGTTATGCGTGTTTCAAATCTGCAAATATTATGCTGAAATAAGAGAAATACCTCATATAATGGTTCAAATTTGCTACCACCATAAGACTGTTGCCAAGTTGCGACATTATCATGCAGATTAATCTTTCTTGAACTCTATTGCATGATGGTGCAACTTGAATGTTGTAGAAAATTTGCATGCTATTATGGATTTACTTTAAATCTGTTGATTTCATTAAGAATAGTCTTCTGGATATCCGAAAATTCAACTCTGGATATTCAGTAAGACACTAAACAGTTATGTTTCGAAGCTAAGAATTTTTAAATTAAGAATTTATATTTTTGACGACTACTTACTCAGCTTTTATAAAGTGCAAAAAGCTGTTAACATTTTCAAACAGATATTAGTTGTGTGACACGATTTATTTTTACTGCTTGCTGCATTTTTTGTAAATATTTAGTAACGGTTTTGGATTCTAGTTATATGCAAGAATTCATAATTATTTTAACTTTTAGAAGTTTGTACTCATAAAGGGAGTTTTACTATACACGCCAAGATGGGAGCGATTTCCTTTTACTTGGGAATGCAAAGGTTTCTGTTTCAATACCTTATTGCTATGAAAATAGTGTTTGTGATGAAGCTCCTATTTCGACATACGCGGCAAAGCTATGTCTAATAATACTATTGTCTGTATAATTTTTCTTAAGCATAAATTTTTTACCAACATATAAATATATACATATGTAAATGTAAATGCTATGTACGCATTAATATATCATAAATATAACTGGATGATAGTGTAAAATAAAAGGTAGGCTTCTACTCACTCCATGTGTATGTGACAATAATTGACAGTCTTCAATATGTGAATCATCGTCATTCAGAGCCGGATTGTTATATGTTTCACCCTCGCACAACATCACGTGACCCGAACAAAATCGCCCTTACTACTTTTAAGTTGATGTCAGTCAGCTCACATTTTCTATCATCAAATTAGAGAAATCTGCAAAACATTATTTGAATCATAAGCATTCACCTATTCCAGAGGTTACATTGATAAAATGTATAAAATTTTATATTTAAAGAATGGTAATATGCAACATAGGGATCAATGTTCTGTTTAAATGCATTATGCATATAAAATAGAATTCAGCGCCTTGCTGTTCGATGTATGCACAAAATACCGTTAGCTGCTCTTATACAGAGATATATTTTCTATTTTTCTAATTTCTAACACATTTAACGTGAATTTTGTTTCAGCATTAAAAAAAAAATATTGAAGTTTACCTTGCATTTGTTTAGTTACGATAAACTTTAAAAGATATTTTTCTGTTCTTTTTACCAAATGGTAATTTCTTCAATACTTTTTCTTCAAAAGTTTCCTCTCAATAGGCTTTATGTACCAGATCAAATGTATTACTTTATCTAATGATTTAATAAATCTATGATGATTAGTTATTGGAGTTCCGTATTTAAAGAAAAAAATATCAATACATATAAACAAAATAAGTCACTCAATTAATTAATAAATACACTTTTCTTCTGCGCTTTACTTTACATATCCTAATAACATGGTTTGCTATAATTATTTAAATGTTCTATAAACATCACTTTAATTTCATTCCATTATTTAAATAAGCCACTATAAATAAATTGCTTTAGTATTGTTTAAAAATTTTGCACAAATAAAAATGAATTATTTGAAAATCGCATCCAAATCCGGCTCTGAATCCTTAACTGTCTTGTGTGGTGTGAATTTCAGATTTATATTTTTTTATATTGCATTCTTGGTGAGTTAGACGCAGCGAACATATATCTATCTATCTGATTTAAGTGCTTCTCTTGATTCCGTGATTTTTCTCATTCAGCGCGTTTCTCACCATCTCAACTGCCACTTGTCACTTTTTGGGCATTCTCCCACCCCCCAGAACCACAGAAACTGTGCCAACTGTCATTCAAACAAACGATTAATTATCTACCTTTTAAATCTACTGTAGCTCTTTCTCTATCTTAACCATACTTGCAAAAGTTTATAGTTTCTTACCCCACTCATGTGATATTTCTTCGGTGATTCAACTTCCTCATTATAATCTTCTTCACAACTCAGAAGATAAGAAACTGTTCAGACTCGTGGGTTCCATCCATTTTGCCAACAATCACTTCGCCGGTGAATCGGTTGCCGACATTAACTCACAAATTCGACTGCTTATAACTGAAATAATTCACTTCGCAAAAATTTTTGTCCTCAACCATAATTCTTGCGAATCGTTTGCCGAATCTAATTCACCAATTCAACTCTCCAGTAAGATAGTGAACTGAAATTATTTACTTGGAAAAAATTCTTGTTTTCTACCATTTTTCTGGGGAATTTTCTGCTAAATCTAGTTCACCAATTCAACTCTCCAGTAAGATAGTGAACTGAAATTATTCACTTTGCAGAAATTCCTATGATCAACCATTTTTCCAGTGAATCGTTTGCCGAATCTCTTTCGCCAATTCAACTCTTCAGTTAAGATAGCGAAGTGAAATTATTTACTTGTCGAAAATTCTTGTCTTCTACCATTTTTCTGGTGAATTGTTTGCTGAATCTAGTTCACCAATTTAACTCAGAGATATGAGAGGTAACTGACATTATTCAATTCTTGAAAACTCTTGTCTAATAAGGAAAAAGGATGAAAAGAAAAAAAAGATCAATTTATTAAAAAATTCTTATTGCACACAATGAATCATTACTGACGTTAAAAATCTTTCACAAAACGCATTTTGAGTTCAAATGTTCAAAGATCTATGCAAAGGACTGAAATTATAAATAAAAATTACATAAATACAGGTTTTTCGCGATTTAACTATGCAGTATCACTGATTAGGGTCGAACTTACAATTTAAGAAGCTCTACATCTAAACTTTAAGCAAATTTTATTATTAAGTTTGTTCTATATAACTATTAATGATGATCTTTATATAATCCGACTAATCTAAAACCAGAACCAATTATTATAAAATGCGTTAAATCTTTAAATTGTATTCAATACCTTAAGTGGCTGAAGTTCCGTAAGTAGTGATATCATCAAAAAAAAGAGGAAATTATGTGTAATAACTCACTCTAAATCTAACTGTTTTTCTAATTATAACTATATTCAAGGCTATTTTATAACTAAATAACGTTGCTTGGAATATAGGTGCAATTTTATTTTATAGCAGAGTCATTTTATCACAATAACCAGCGAATTTTCTGTAATCTTAATGAGGTATTGAGGAGTTAAATATTAAGGCAAAGCTGTTAACTTCCCGACTTTTTAACCTCTATTTAAAATGGCAGGAAAATAAAAAAAATTTATTATACTTTGAAAGAACTTTATATGTACCTTTGACTTATACGGAATGCTATACATACCTAATATGTATTTTTAGAATCCTTTTTTAAAAATTAAAACAAAAGAGTATTTATATTGAAGGTCACATATTGGGGGTGACATGTTCAAGAAAGGAAAAAAACATTATAAAAATCGGACAAATCACGGTAGAGGAAAGCGACTGTAATAAATAACAAAACACGTTTGACTGAGGAAGAAAACAAACAGGAGTTGAAAGGTGATTACTAAAATAACCTTCAAGTTTCAACTTAATTAAATTAGTTTTAATGTTAATCCCATCTATTATTCTCTATTGCAATTTGTCAGATTTCAATTGTCTTTTGATCTGTTTCCTCGCTAAAACATTAATTTGCATACCTTCCAACTACTGCGGAATTCCTGAATCTTCAGATTTTTTCTTTTTTTGCATTATGGTATAGCAAAGGTTACTAATATTTTAATAAATTATATTTAAAAGAATTTTTAACACCACTGCATATGGATAATTCAAACAGATATATAAAAGAAATTAACAGATGGCCGTGCTCTTAAGTTTTGAAGATTAATAAAAAGTAGATTTGTTTAAAAAATGTTTCCTTTATTTAACTACCACAGAGAAAAATAATTCTCTAAAACCTCAAATATTGGAGGTTGTACCTGAAAAATATTTCATACCAAAATATTTTATAAAAAAAAATCATTATACTAATACGTATGTGCATTTTCAAAGTCAATATATAAATATTATTACTACTTAAAAAATTTGTAAATGAAAACATTTAATTTGACACCCTGTTAAAGTTGCACCAAAAATTTACGCTAATATGGTTCAAAAATATTGTAACTGTGATTCAATATTTAATCAAATTTTCTAAGATATATTAAAACTGTTTGTCGTCAAAGTGATTGTTGGCAAAATTGCGTGACCCAGATTCAATTATAGAACTTTTTTTGAACTATGGCCAGAAATTAGTTGATTTTTCGAGCTCAACAATTCTGATCGTATTCGTGTAAATTAGTTTGCAATTGTGGACATAAACTAATAGATAGTCTAATATTCAATTACTCTTGCAGCAAACTTCAAAATATAAAAGAAATGTGTTTTATGAAGTACAAACAGTGCATTTATTTTAAACGAAATGCCAAACAGGCTGCATTTTTTATTTACTTTTCCAATTTAGTGCGCAAGTGAACTAAAATTTAACAAATTTTAATAAATTTTTACATTTTCATCTCTGATTTGAAATCGATCTTAATATTTATTTAGAACTTGCTTTTATGATAATTTTTTTAACAGTTCAACAAATTTTGGTACAAATTATTGTGAACAACTTTTCTTTTGAATCGCTAATTACAAAAAGAATGGTTAATTGCTAATTAACAATTCTTTCATTAACAAATTTTTTATTAACGAATTAACGTTGTTTTCCTTACATCAGTTTCTGTCAGAATGAGCAATATTTTTGTTATGATTACACTATTTCATTAATTATAATTAATATTTCACTTTAAGAAAAATATTAATTATAATTAGTAATTAATTATGATTAATAATTAACTAATATTAAAAATTATAATTAATATTGAAAATTATAATTAATTAAAGTTTAAAAAATATTAATTATGAAAATTAAAATTCAATTCAAATTTGCATTGTGCAAATTATAGTTTAAAGTTGATTTTAAACAAAACGATGCATATCAAAAAAAAATTATTCAGATGTAATCGTTAATTTTTTGTTTAAAAAAATGTCCCTCTATTATTTAAAAGAAAAATTATGCACTGAAATATTTATATTGCTAGTTCATTTCATAAATATTATTTATAGGTATTCATTTTATTAACAGATTTGCATTATTGTAATGATTATTATTTTGTATATTTTTATGTGTATTGAGTTTAAATGTTTTTAAATTTTTGTCTGTCTTATTGTTTTTAATTACATTTTTGACATGTATATTAATAAATATAACTTTGCATTCATTTTAAATATGAAAATATTATACAATATTGCAATAATTACTTTCCTGCATGTAAACAGTGAATTATAGAAGTTACTGATTGCCACTAATGCTGTACTAATACTACTAATAACTTATACAATCTTGAAAACTATGCAACCAACTTTTAAAACTTTCGTTTTAAAAATAAATAAATACGTCTAATCTTTCTTGAAAGGAAACTATTTTAAAGAAGTTTAAATAATTGTTCAAAGGTTTTATTATGCAATAAAAATATTTTTTAATCTTTTTGAATTAAGTTATACAAATGTACTAGAATTTAATAAAACTAATTGTATTAGAGTTTAATAAAAATGTACTAGAATTGGTTCTGTAGTAGCCTCCATCTGTTTCTACTAACATTCTATTTATAGCGTTTATTAAACAATAAACTAAGAAGCTGTTGTAAAATAATTATGTATAAAAACTAAAATCAAAGTCCAAAAAAATTCAAATTAAGAATTTTTTTTAAT